TGTTAGTAGGAGACTGATAATAAGGGTTGATTTGCTCAATTTATCGTATCGAGATCAATTTTTATTTTTATTCCTTTTTTCAATTTCATGCTGTGATTTGTTAAAATGAGTTGTTTCTACTGACTACTAGGGTAAGGTTACTTGAAAAAGAAAATTATGAATAACATGGGCATTTTATTTTACTTGAAAAAGAGAAGTTAACGTTAAAAACTTCAATGCCATTTTTCTATTGTTTAGGAATTATTGCCAAAATTCAATTACAAGTACTAAGGGGGCGATTGTATATAAATTCTACAGTAAAAAAATAATCAAAACTCAAATTTAACTCAACTTTAACTCAACTCTATTGTCTCCAATATATATTAATATAATTAAATAATATCAACCAATCATTCTTATACATCACATCAATTTTAATTCACTATTCATCCACTCACATAATTTTAGTTAACCATCACTTCCAATCATTTTCTCTTACTTTTATATCAAATCAACTTTAATTATTTTATTTTAAATATTATTTTAATATATCCACTAACAACTAATCATACCACATTTTTTCAATTTTAACTATAATTAAGAAAAAAACCAGTTTTTTATTAGTTGAATGTATATCCAATCACGCCCTAACAAGGAGAGTGGTTAATATGGAACTTTATAAACATACAAACACATACTTATGCTTGTGATCCCACATTGAAAATTAATATGGAATTTCATTTGCTATGATAAAAGAATAGTAAGTACTAAAGTGTTGTCTTAAACACACCTTATAGTAATGAGTAATGATGTCAAATTAATGTATGTGGATTAAAAAAAGTGTTATGAAAATATGATAGTGCTATGTGGATCCTATAGATAACACAAAAAGTGTTAAAACAATGTTATATTTCGTAAAACTAGTTGATAGATGATAACTTAGCTGATAACTTATAAGTGAATTTTGAGCTTATAGTTGATGACTGAAAAAATAGTTGATAATAATAGAAGTGTTTAGTAAAAGAGAAATGGTACAAGTACATAATAAATGTACATAAAAGTGTACATAATATTCACATAGAGTGAGGTTCACTTAATTTTTTATTTTTAATAGGACCCACTTAATGTGAGTGTTATGTACAACTCTATGTACATTATTATGTACTTATAGTATTTCACTTAGTAAAATTAGTGATAAGCTACCTGAAATAAAATTTTCAACCGACTTATTCGAAAAGTTATTTAAAAATAGTTTATGAGATAAACTCAAACTTTAATTTTTAAAAAAGGTCCGTCCTACTAGTCAAAATATATTTAAATATAAGAATCATATAAGTTAAACAAATAAAATATAAATTAGTTTATAATGTTTACCATATACCTCATCAGCTATCAAATCGAGTTGTAACACTCCAATATAAGACCGACACGTCCCAGTGCAATTAAATCGAGTTGTAATAAATAATAATCCAATGTGGACCGACTCGTGTAAAATGAATTTAGAGAGAAAACCTTCAAAAAGGATAACAAAAGCTTCCATTTTCTAATCAATTGCAAGCAAAGTTCCGACTTTATTAAACTAAAAATCTCTTTATATCCACGCTTAAACAGTTAATTAAAAATTAATTAGTTAGTTCACGAGGTTGGCACAATCCTGGCTTTTTGTACTAACCTATATTTTATAAAAGTTTGTTTGTTCTACAAGCCTGAGAAATCTATTAGACGTGAACTTAGAGACATATTTTAAAAAAAAAATAAAAAATTGGTGCAATAAATTTCCCTTACTTTAGCAAGTTAGGCTCGTTTTTTCATATGCCACTCGAGCTCTTAGTTGGACTCGAAAAAGAAAATACATAAACACTCGACAACGATTCAAATTTTTAATAAAAAACACATTAGAGTAGCTCAACTTAATTTGATGCACTAATATATTTCTTTACCAATCTGATCAATTTATATAAATGCACCAACAGTAAAACTATTGTGAGGCAGATGTATCAACTGATCAGTGATCAACTATATTAGTTTTACCTCGTGCATTTGCACGAAAAGAGATATAGTATAATAAAAAATAATTTAAAAATATAAAATAAAATAAAAATCATAATTTAATAAATGAGAAAAAATTTAAAAAAATGAATCTAAATATTATTAAACACTTCTTTATATATAACATTAGTGGTTTTTCTATCGTCAGAATCCCCATCCCAACAAATCATTATCATTACACTTCTTGGCATGACTGTAAAGGAATCAAGTTAACTTCTGTTCGTTATTTGCTATTTGTGGGCTAGTATGCCCAAGTAGTCCGATTATGTTAGTGGAGTTTTGGACGAAAGCTTTGCTCCGAGCTTTGTTAGTAACTCTGCTGAGATCAACCATTTGGTACCTGACATGAATTTGGATAATAATGAAAATAAAAGAGCTGCAAATGGCGTTGAGGAGAACTAAATCTTTTATGGGTTTTTACTTACCTTCAATTTAAAATTATAGACTTGATAGAGAAATATTTGAACCCTCATGTCCTTTGTTAGGTTATACTAACTTGAAAAGTTACGTAAACATGAAATCACGGCATATTGAAAACTCGAAATTTGTCGGCTAGTGTGTTTTGATGTTTTGGTGTGGAAATGATGTCTAAATGTAGTCTTACAGTGGGGGAGAAATAGAATACATCTGAGGAGAAAACAAGAGCTGGTTAAAAAATATAGGGAAGGAGATAAAGGTTTCTAAAATATTGATTCTATGTAAAACATATAAATGATCTCATATAGAAAAACCACACACTTGTCTACTAACACACCATTATGAATTTTACTTGTCTTATGGCACACCATTTTGAAGTTTTTATATTATCTTCTTACATATATCAATTTTAATGAACTTCTTTTTGTCATTTTCTTACATATATCTATTATATCGAGGACTATTAACCGTGAAAAAGTATGAGAAAACACAATAGATATGAACCAAGAAAAGCACGAGCAGAGTTTAGGAGTCTAGGATGAGGATAAAGGGGTCGTTTTATGTGTGATAATGGTTCAGATGATTTTGAAAAATTACATACTCAACTCTGTAACAGAAAGTGTAGTATAAAATACATGGGATGCTTTGCCAGTTTTTTTTTTTTTCAATCAGGAAGTGATAAATGAACAAATAATCCTCAGTAGAATAGATATCTACAGATATTACTATTTGGATCAACTCAAAATTAATTTCTACAGATAAATGCTACGATAAAACAGGATATCATCTCTTATAAGGAGAGGTTTTAACATTTATTTTTCTAGTGATGTATACTTCTTCACATCTTCATTTTCTTTTCCCCTTCAAATGCCATCATCTAAATTTTCCAATCAAAAAGTGCAAACATTTGATATGTGTGCCATTAAAGGTTTCAATTTCTCCCTCATTTAATCATCTCTGAACCCNAAATGGCATTGGTAAGCAGATCTTTCAAACTCATCTACTTTCTCCTCATAATCCTCACTCTTGAGACTCCCAATGCCACTGGCCTGAGCATCAAACTCATCCACAGAGACTCCATTCAATATCCATTTTACACCCAAAACCGAACCGAAAGACTCAAACTCCTCCTTCAGACAACATCAAACATCAGGACCAAGATTTTCTTAAACCAAAGATCACAAAACAAAACCTCGACCTCAATTCGCCCGATACTCGACAACCAGGATCTAATGTACATGGTCCAGGTCAGCATCGGCACATTCACCCGCTCCAAACCTTCCCGCTACACGTACTTCCTCCACCTCGACACGGCCAACGACCTCACTTGGACCCAATGTGACGAGTGCCGTAAAGGCCGACGCTTGTGCTTCCGCCAGCTGGCACCACTCTTCCCCGCGGCCCGCTCATCCACCTACGGCCCACTCCCCTGCGGAAACCACCCCCTCTGCTTCCCGGGCCAATGCATCGGGCCCGTTTGCTCATACCATATCGAGTACGGAGATGGGGCCCAAACGTCAGGTTACCTGGCCCGCGAGTCGTTCACTTTCTCTGCCGCCAAAAAGACGGTGACAACTGTCAAGGACACTGTTTTCGGGTGCGGAATTCGGAACACGGGATTCGCCGAGTCGTCGAAGAAGAATCTCGTCGCGGGGAACTTCGGGTTGGGCCCGGGTCCATTTTCGTTCCTGAGGCAGCATATGGGCCTGACGATGGGCCGATTCTCGTACTGCTTTCCCCCGTGGGACGCCGAGCGGAAATCCGACGTTTTTCTCAGGTTCGGAGCTGACGTGCAGATAAGGAAGGATCTTAAGACGACGAGGCTTTTGAACAACTCGGAGAATGTTCCGTACTATTTTGTGGAGCTGAAGGGGATAAGCGTGGGGCCCAAGAGGCTCGACATCCCGGCTGAGATGCTCGCGAGGAAAGGGTTGAAGGGCGGGTGCTGCATCGACTCGGGGACAACATTTACCGTTTTGCCCCCGGCAGTGTACGCGAAGATGAGGGAGGCTCTGGTTGCAGACCACTTGTCGAAATATAAGCCAGCAGGGAAGCTTGGGGACCTTCGGTTCTGTTATTTTGTCCCGACGGGAAAAACGGGAAGGAAAGGGCGGCTCCCGAACATCACGTTCCATTTGCGGGATTCGGAGATCGTGCTTACGCCAGAGCTGGCGTTCGTGTCTGATGACGTGGCTTCTGGAAGACGGGTGTTCTGCCTGGCGATGTTGCCGGCGAATATTTACAACGTGATACTAATCGGGTCTTACCAGCAGGCGAACACACGGTACGTGTTTGACACCGTGAAGTCGAAACTGTATTTCGGTCCGGAGGATTGTACTCGTAGTAATTAATTTTTTTTTTTATTTTTGGCCCGTCTGC